TGTGTTCGCCTTGAGTTCACAAACACACAAACAAAATAGTTTCCTCTAAACAGCCTGTACACAGGAAAAGCAGACAAGCACATTTTGAAATCACTGACGGACACAATTTAAACCACACACTCACACAACCTGAAGGAACGCACACACAAAGACAGGATGGTTAGCAGTGTCAGTGTGCCAGTTAGCGGTGGCGAAGCCAAATAGCCGAATTTTACTGTTTTTGTTGTTTCTCTTGCAGAATAAAAAAACAGATCAATAGAGACAGTCCCCCCACCCCCACCTCGCTAGCCCTGTTCTGAGTACCACTGATGGATAACAGATGGGTTCACAGAGTGTGTGTTTGTGGCAGAGATTTTTTTTGGACCTTGTGTACATGTTCCAGTATTATTGTTTTTGGGTTCTGTTGCATTTCAGTCCATCTTAGGTTGATTTGCGATCAAGCGTCTTGTTCTTGAGGGGTGTGTGTGTGTGTGTGTGTGTGTGTGTGAGTGAGTGAGAGATTTGCAGCGGCGTCTCTTATCAGAATTTATCTCCAGCAGGCCTTCTACTCTCTGATATCGACATACTTTTCTTATGAGGATCTGAAAGTGGAGGCTCAAAACGCGTTGGGAGTCGAGGGAGCGTGTTTCTTGGCAACTTGCACATCCCAATATGGCAAACTAACTTGTCTTGTGAAGTGGGAGCCAATGTGTGTGTGTGTGGGGGGGGGTAGGAAAGCTGGAATGGAGTTGTGAAGGGAGAGAGAGGAAGGAAGGAAAGGGCTGAGAGAGAGGTGGTAATGAAAGAGTGATTCCAAAACATTTAAAGAAACATTTCCCTCACAGCTACCATTTGGATGTTGTTTCTGGAACAAGGAGTGCAAATGTTTTCTCTCGTTCTACCCCTCCCTCTTCTTCCTCCCATAGACTGTTCAGGAAGGGGAAAAGGGATTTGGGGATTGTATTTTTTTTTTCTCCAATCACCGGCATGAAGACTGTGTAGCTCTGTGTATGAGTGTGTGTGTGCACGTGTGTGTGTGTCTGTACTCTGCACACATGGATTAAGGGCCTGTAGGCGGCTGTGATGCTGAGATTGATCCATACTCCAGTGGGGTATCTGTGCCTCTTGACGTGTGTGTGTGTGAGACCCTGGTGTTTGGCCTGAAGGAATGGAAACTGCTGACATCCCACCAAGAGACCTTAACATCTTTGACAGGTGGTGGTTGTGAATGTATTCTGTGTGTGTGTTTTGTCAAGGAGAGGTATGTCTATGTTTTGTTCCACACACCAGGTAACAATTAGAAAAGAATTATAGGTGAGAATAATTTCTTAGAACAACATTGTCGGCACGTATCGTGACACACGCTGGAGTGAAAGGTGGATAGGTGGCAGTGAAAATATGTTTCTTAGCAATTTTTAGTGGGTTTATTTATATAAGAACTTGCATTATTAAATTCCATAGAGCAGTCATGAGTCGCTGGGGTTTACCATAATGCTTGAGGTCACATGTTACGCTGGTAACAAATAGCAAATTACTTTTTACAGTTACAGGGATTAAAAAACAACAACCATACTAACCAAAACTATTTCGATACTTAAAAAAAGGCCACCTAATGTACAGTTTAATAGTCAGTAAATATCAGGAGATATTTGACTTTAGCATTTGAGGTCCATAAAAGAATCATGTGTTCTTAATGCAACACAGCTTAATATAAATTGTCGTCGCTGTCCTGTAAAAACCCAAATCACCAAAATGTCAGTTTTTCATGAGCTAAACTTAACAGTTGTTTTCTGTTTTTTTTAATGATTTATTTAACATAAAGATATAACCATTATGATTAAAGCCAGTTTTTGATACTATTTGTGGTGATATTTTTCAGCAATGGCCAGTCAATATATTTCAATTCAGCAAGTCCACCATTCCTGCACTGGATTCAGGTTACCTTCCCATGCAGTGGGGTCCACAGGGAACAATGCACGTATGCATGTGTAATACATGCAGCTCAGTGGTATTGTTTGTAACTTTGTCTCATTGATATCAGCCTCATTGTTTACTTGTTTGCTCTCCTACACCTGTATCGGAGCTGGATTAAGTTACTGCTAATGCAAACCAAACCTCTCCGTGTTGCTGCTAGTCTGCATTAAAAGCATTAAACTTGTGAAACACAGGAAGGCCTTCATTTGTGAAGCAGGCACCACAAACCTAGTGCGTTTCTCACTGAGGTTAGCGCCAACCGCGGCCATTAAACAAAAATGCATCTACAAAGCAAAGAGGTTCGGCCAGTCGGTGGATGGGTTTAAATTTTTGCAGGGAGTAATGGAAGAAGAAGGAGTAGCCGCACTGAGCTGTCAGACGCAGAGTGGAAAACTGTGAATTCAGATGGTGGTTGCTCATGACATGATGTAAAACAGCCAATTATTGATGGACAGGGTGAGTTTGTTTCGCTGCACTGCAAACAGATACACCAGTTGCTCCTATTTCTGCTTGCTGTTGTATTAAACCACACTTTTATCAACAGTAACCACAGACCGAAATCCTTAGAAGTATAACCTATCTTACAAAATAATAGAACAGTAGTAATGTAATAGTTAAAAATGTGCTTGAAACTCCTGCAGTGTCTCAGACTGGAAGGGCATTAACTGCAAACCCACACAGAACTGCTTGCACATGTCAGTGGTCATACAGCGATGCAACGGAGCCTCTTCAGCTACACACAGAAACCCAGGGAACATACACAAACACACGTGCAACGCACACACACAATCACTGAGAGACTTGAAGAAATCTGTGTGATAGGGCTGGGTTTGGAAGGTCCACCTACACAGTAATGTTCAAAGCAGAGAATAAAGGCACACTGCATTACTCCTGTATGTGTGTGCATGTGCGTGCATCTATTTGGGGTTAATTGGAAAGCTGCATTTACTATAGTGTGTGTGTGTGTGTACACACACAGGCACTGACGGACTGCGGTTTTAATGTACTGATTTAGATGCAGAGGAAACTCTGAGCACAGCATGTCTCTCAGATTCCCACAGGACTAATACAGAAACACACACACACACACACACACACACACACACACACACACACACACTCGGTCCCTTCCCCCTCGCCCATATACAGACAGCACCCTTTCCCCTACACACATGGTTAGTTTTATCAGGGTAATGGCTGTGTGTTCAGTAATGGGCTGGGTGGGGGCAAACCTCAGCTAAACATGAAACCTTTCCCAGCTCTTCAGAGGTTGTGATTGGAAGAGCCAGTAATGGTTCAAAGGTTCAAAGTCTACTGATGGTCAGATTGTTTACATGCAGGGGATGGAGTCTAATAAAAAACAATCTAACGTTATCATGTTGAGATATGAAATGCTTTATGAGGATTTACTCTGTCGATGTTGCTGATTTTAATGGTGAAGGGGGTGTGGGTGTGGGTGTGTGTGTGCCGTCAGCGTGCTTTGAACGGAGTATGTGTGTGTGTAAACACGCATCACTGTGTGCGCTATGGACTGCTTGTTCAAATTAAACAGATGGAGTAGCGGTCGGTCTTACGTTGAAGCCAGTTTTCCACGTCATCAGGTTCAGAATGATACTTTTACATGGTAATGTCTTTTTATTCTAATTTTTTAAAAAGTTAGTGCCAACCAACCCTCCCTTGATGCAAGGATGAAATATTTTTTGAAAAGACTGATTCTGACATGAATCCAACAGAGAAAGGTTGACATCAGTGATGTTCCTGCATCCCACCAATGTATTTCAGAGGGTTTTCTGCCCTCTAAGAATTGACAATATGATGGAAACTATTCAAATAGACACATTTATTGCTGGGCTACTAAATATCAACACAATATTTTATATACAGTACTCTAGAGACAGATTTGATCTTACACATGCTTTCCAAGAGCCAGAATCTGCCAAAGCTTAATACTGACTGCTTTTTTTACACATTATCCTGCAGGTATTTTCAAGATCTCAAAGCGGCACTCAGCTCTGCTCTTCCTCTTAGCTTGACGTCAGTTAAAGTCTGCAGCTGTGGCCGGCGCAGTCTGTGGAAATATTGGATTTAAACGTTGATTTCCAGATGTGCAAATATCTGTGGGATCATAAAAAAACTTTTGAAGACACTTGCTACTGTAACAGTAATAATAATAATAAAATATAGCGTAAGGCTGACAAAGGACACAGCATGTGACTAAGTCATGGAGTAACTTACAATGGGAGGATTTGCTTTTTCTTTGTAAACTAAATATCTTTTGGGTCTTAGACTTTTGGTCAGACAAAACAAGACAATTGCAGATTTAAACTTTGTAAATAGGGCTGTATACCCAGGCTAGTTCTGTATGCTAAATTAGACCAGCTAATAATGGGCTTTACTTTACAACACACAACAGCTGTCAAAAAAAGAGATTTTAAGTCCACTAGATAAAGATGTATACAAGGTGTGTAAACAATCCTATTGTTTATAAACTAGCATTTAAAAGACGTGTTAGCAATGGGTTGTTTTTTTTTTTGTACATTTGTCTTCTAGATAAGACAATTGGATTAAGAGGTAACCAAATTCTCGGTTAAAACACCTACACAGCGACAGAGAGTGAATGTGCCAATCTAACCCAACTAGGTATACGCAACTCACTTTATGCCCCAACCAATCACTGCTCCCCAGAAGACAGGGTACCCTCACGATGGCCCCTCGTAGTTCACTCCTGTTCTGACTATGGTGGTTTTTAGTTGGTGGTCACATTAACTGTCCTTTTCTCCCGGGTGCAGTCTGTCTGTGGCCTGTCTTGTAGAACCAGAGTGCATGGTGGCTCAGTAATAATGTTATTACAACAGACTGCCTCTGCAAGGAACCATCAGCACGTATTGATTGTGCACCACACACACTCAAAAACACACACAGAGAAAGTGACAGCATGTACGGTATGAATCGATTGTCTTTGTCGTTTATTAGTTTGGTTCTTGTGGTTACGGGGGTGACTGAAAGTCCTCATTCTTTTTTTTTTTTCTTTTCTTTTTTTTTTCAAGGCGATGCCTTCCCGGCAGGCTCCAGTCCATTCCTGTCAGGTTATCCAGGCCCCTCGTCCTTGACCTCTGACCCCGCAGCGTACCGATCGGCCAATCCCAGCGGTCTGCAGATGGCTCAGGTCTGGGCATCACACGCTCATGAAGGTAAATCACCAGTCTCCTCAACAAACATTTCTCTGTCTCCTTTTTTTTTTTTTTTTCTGTTCCTCTCCTCTTTTTCTGTCTCAGTCCATAATTCAGATGCTTAAAGACACAAGTGAACCATATTTTCATGACATTTCTCACAGTCCGTTCCCGTCCAGAGCCCAGGAGGCTTGTTCCTCTGTTTCTCATTGCTTACACTAGTGGCATCCTGTTCCATTTCTGTCTCTCTGCTGTTAGCTGTGCTCCTGGCACTGTCCTATATGTGTCTCGTTTCCTCTGTCCTCCACCTGTCTCTTAGTTTCGCCTGTCATGCGGTACTGTAATCTATCTTCCTTTCTCTTGTTCTTTTTTTGAGCTTCCTGTCCACTATGCACTTTGTCTGTCTCTCTTTAGATCTTATGCCCCCACTTTCCCACAACATCTCTCTCCTGACCTAGCTTATAAACACAGTTTTAGACACACAGAGGTATGTACTGTAAATGTTTGTGTGGTTTTTCTTTTGTCCTCTCCTTGGAACCCTCTCTGTCTCTGTGCTCTCCTTAAGACCTGTTCAGTGAGTGATTGAATCTCACTCCCTCCTGTCCTTTTGTGTCTCCTTATCAAATCTCGCTGGAGTAGAAGGTCAGATAGAAGGAAACGTATCCCGCAGTGCATTTTGCCAAGGTAAACAGAGAAGGGCGAACGGATTTAATTTAGGATTCATTTTTAAAACAGATTGCATCGCCCGTGTGACACTGATCTTGTTTAGTGCTTTCCAAACCCAGCAAATCGGATTGGGTGTTATTCGTTTGTTTTAATTTTTACTTTCCGCCATTCAGGGACGGTTCAAGGGGGCGGCACTGGCAAGTGATTGCACCCGTGATTATAGGCAGTAGTCTGAGCAGTAATTTCTGCTGGTTCCCTGGCAACCGCTCGGAGCCAAGAATAGTCCGGCACGTAACCCACCATAAAGCGTAGAATTTGTCTTTACACTTCGGTTTTTGTACTGATTAAACAAACAAGATATACTGTGTTAAGTATTGTGCTTTAGAGGAACTGATTGGTGCATTTTGTTACCTTCAGACAGAGCCAGGCTATTTGTTTTCGCCGGTTTCCAGTCTTTATGCTAAGCTAAGCTAAAGTGCTGCTACCTTATACATATCTTTATGTTGAACTATTCCTTTAACGCTGGATTACATACGTGTGTGTGTGTGTGTGTGTGTGTGGGAATGGCGGACTCCGCCTCTCAATTAAAACTACTATATTGAGACGCAATCACAGAATACATTGAACGGCTATTCGTCAAAAAACAGGATTGGATCTACCCTGTTTGACTTTATATTCAGCCAAAGACGGAGGGATAAAGGATGGATGGACTTTTGACGCTTGACTTAAAGCCTGATTTGAAGCTAAAAGTATTTGAAGCTAAAGAAGCAAAACCTCCTGCTGGCTGAAGTAGCTGCAGAATCGACTTGCTCTGATATGAATAGAATATCTTCACAGCCTATGATATATTCTTAATACCTGGTGACTGGGCTGTAATAACAGCTAAAGTTACTAAAAGCTGGAGACGTTTCTGGGCGCCAGCTAAGAGGCAGACTGTGGACATTGCCTGGGATGCACGTAGCTGCAGAGGAACCCCATATCAAAGCTGTTAGAGATCAAGGTTAGCTGTTACTGTGGTTAAAGGAAGCTTTGCAAGAAACCTATCGTGCATGCCTTTACTCTCCTCACATCACTCCTCTTATATTTCTGTCTCCCTCTGCCTTCCTCTAACCGGTGACACCCCCACCACCCGCCTCCTCTGTCTTCTCCATTTCTGCCTCTCAAAATGAAGAGACAGATTTATACTTGGGCTCTGCTCCCCACCGCTTCATGCTGGAATGGCAGCGGCGTCTTTGATATTTCCTGAATGGCTGGAGTGTGGGAACAGGGAATGTCTCACCCTCTCTGGGTGGTAGTCTTTTTTTTTTTAAACATGTGGCCTTATGCAGTGACACCAGCCAGCATCAGAGTTGCAGCCAGCTCAGCCTTAACACAGAAGTCCAGAGCATTACACCAGGCGTGAGGCCTATATTAAGATCTGGTCTCTGAGAGCAGCAGCTGGCTGTCAGGCAGACTCTTGCCCAACATCAACCTCAAACTGACCTCATGAACAAAACCAGTAGTTGACAGTGACGTGGTAACCGTTACTGATGATGATAATGATTATAAAAGTGGTCAAATCTGGTTTACACAGGCTCAAATCTGTTGACTAGTACAAATTAACACTGAGAGTATAAGTTGATTAAAACATTAGTTGATTGACAGAAAATTACCAGGCAGCTATTTTGGGAATTGATCAATTTTTAGTTTTAGCCTGATTATTGGACAAAACAAGGCATTTAATGATGTCACCGTGGGAACATTTGGATGGGTATTTTATGCTATATATTGACATTCAAAATAACAAAGTGGATTGATCACGATAATGAAAATATTCATCAGTTGCTGCCTTAGTCACAAGGCACCTCACAAGGCATGTCATTACCTCACTAAAACAGTTTCAACGAAAACATAACCTTCATGAATGAAGGAAGTATTGTAGAAGTGTATTAGTTTTAGTTACATGTACCTAATAAACTGGCAACTTAGTGTAAATACTGTATATAAAAGCAATGATTTCCCTACCAAAAACCATGCATTTGATTGGTAGTTGGGTTGCTTTACTCAGAATCATGCAACAATCCAAAATCCAACCCCCCCCCTTATCTACTATTTATGGTCTTGTTAAAGTTACTCATTAATTTCTGGCGGATATACGGCTGCAATGGAAGATTGTATTCATTATTGATTAACCTGCCAATCAGTTGGTCTGTCAAATGTAAAAATAAATTAAAAAACAACACAAATTCACACAGTCCAAGTTGACGTCTTTAGGTTTTGTCTAAGGCATGAAGGTATTTAAATTACAATGACATAAAATGGAGAAAAGCTGCACTCACATTTAAATCGGGTGTTTTCTGCTTGAAAAAAGACAAACGATGAATGGATGTTCTAAATTCAATCCAGCAAATCGACTCATTGCAGCTCTGAGTTTAAGTACCAATGCTCTGTTTGTTACTTGGCAGCAGAAGTTGCTTTGAAATCCTCGTGCAACGAATCACCAGGGGTTGTCCAGGAGCTCCAAATGGTCCTCGTAAAAGTTTCACAGAAGCCGTGACATTATTTACACAATAGTCTCAGTTTTGTGTAAACTACATTATGTGACACATTCTGTGTTTGTCTGTTTTTGTCTTCAGGCTACCCTCCTCTGCCAAGCAGCCTGTACTCCAGCCCCTACCTGTCCCTGGGCCACCTGGATCCTCCCTCGCTCTCCCAACACCCTCTCTATGACTCGCATAAAGGTCAGTCGCTGTCAGCCACAACTGTCATGGAGACAAGTGGCTGAATTGAGTGTACATATTCTCTCACATCCTGTGATACCTGAGTGGAAGTAGGTTTTGTGTCAAGCCTTTTCATTTAGTTGTGGAACTGGGTTAAACCTCCAGCAGGGAGTGGGCAACATTTGACTGACAGACACTGATTTTAGCCTAGATTCTTATTTTATTTTCATGCTATAACGTATAATACATCTGGGTATGGCTGCTGAAGAAATACTGTTACATTTACTTGGCAAGTCTACATTTAAATATTTATTATACTCATATGAAATGCTCTGAATCTTCATCTGTTTCAGCAGTTTGCGTTGATGTAGTGGGTGTGTGACTCATGTGTCTTTATGTTTTGTGTCTTTTAGAGGGCTTTTACCTGCCAGCCTCCTTGAGCCAGTTGCCTCTCCACCCGCCGTCTGCTCCACCGACCACCCCGTCCAGCTCCACACCCCCTCAGAGGTTGTCCCGGGATGGGGGTAGAGACCGGCATTACCGGGTGGAGAGGGAGAGAGAGAGGAACAGAGAGAGAGAGCAGTCGAGAGAGGAGCAGAGGCCGCACAGCGTGGTGGACCTGACACAGGACGGGAGGAGCGAGGAGGACCGCAGGGCGAGGAGCGGCGACCGGGAACGAGAGAAAGAAAGGGACCGGGACACAGAGAGAGAGATTTGGTCCTTCCATCCTCACCCCCACCAGCAGAAGTCACACTCCCAACCTTCCACAGTGGAGCCCAGATCCAGGCCGTCACCTTCGCAGCCCTCCTTCCCTTCAGGTGGGGGTGGGGCAGGAGGTGCGGGCAGGTTTCATGGACCAGACACAGACAGAGGGGGCCGGGATGAAGAGGGGGGCTCTCGACCCCACCATAACTCTAACGCTAACTCAAATAACTCAAACTCTCACTCAGACAGACAAAGGAGGAATGACTCTGTGGCCACCTCACCTGGGGCGCTCCACGTTTCCTACACCCTTCCTCCTGCGCTTCAGCCCTCCGCTGCTGGCCCACCCCACCCCTCCACTCCCAGAGAGCTTAACAGAGAGCAGCGAGTCACCGCACCGACATATGTGCCTTCTGTGGAGGTTTACGACGAGCGGGCTGGGCCCATCCAGATCGCCTCGCAGGCTCGCGACAAGCACGGTGACAAACACAGAGACAGAGAAAGGGAGCGAGAGCGCGACAGAGAGCGAGAGCGGGAGAGAAACAGGGAGAGGGAGAGCTACAGGATTCCTGAGAGGAGCTTGATGGAGCATCCTCGGCTCTCCCAATCTAGCGATTCAAACAATCAAAGAGAGGAAGGTTCTGTCATTTGTTCCAATGGTTCTATTGGTAAACGAGGCCAGGACGCGTTTAACTCCTCCAGTCAATCAAGGTTCAGCCCTGAAACCAGGGACATCTCTAAACACTCAATCCGATTGGGCATAGAGCGGGCAGGGGCAGAGCCTAAGTGGAATACTATCAGCCCCTTAGCAAACTATGCCACAAGTCACATGGCTGCCCTGGCAGCCCAGCACGGACACACTATCTCCTCCCCCCATAGCCAGCCGACACACACACAAATGCCCCATTCCCCTCACACATCCCACCGGCCCAGCAACCACCCTCACTCTGCCCACAGCCATTCCCCCCAAACACACCCCTCCCAACACGGACATGGTCATGCAGGTGAGGAGGGGAGTCAGAGACGGTACCTGGACCCATCTGCGCTTTACCGACCTGGGTTGTCGTTGGTAGGAGGGTCCAGTGGTGGAGAGCGAAGCGGGGGTGCGGGTTCGGATCCCACAGAGGTTTCAGCCATGCAGAGTCTGATTAAATACAGTGGGAACTTTGCTGCTGAAGGTCCTGGGTCGTCCAGGCACGCTGCAGATGGCCGAGGGCCCTTCGGCGGTCTGGCTAACATTGGGACGGAAGCCGAGAGGGAGAGGGAAAAGGATAGAGAGCGTGAAAGAGACAGAGAGAGGGAGAAAGAAAGAGGGCGTGAAAGAGAGAGAGAGAGAGACAGGGAAAGGCTGTCAGTTGGATCGGGTGCTTCAGGGGCATTGAGGGTGCCTCCCCAGCTAAAGAGAGAGCAGGAGCGGCCGGACAGCGCCCGCTCGTTTGGCCGGGAGGCGGAGGGGGAGGTACGCCACCCTCCGGTTGGCATTGCTGTAGCTGTGGCCCGGCAGAGAGACAGTGGGAGCTCCTGTAAACAGACCAGTGGACCTTCAGACTCCCAGAGAACCCTGATGCAAACAGCTATTAAAGGTAACGATGTATTTATGTAACGTGGACGCCTCGTCATCGCTTCACTTGAATCCTGTGCTGCATTCTGCTAACCTTCTATAAAACCTTGTTTCCTTGCATGTAAATGATCTTGGTGCAAATTCAACTGAAAAATGAATCATTCCTCTTGTGATTGTGTATGAAAAGGAACAGTTTCCCCATGTTTTGGTATAATATGCATTTCTATTGGATGTACGTTAGAAGTACTTTCAGGAGTCGTGTGGTGACGCTTATTCAATCACACAAGTCATTTTATACATGATGGTGTCTGGCAAGTTAAATCAAGTGTACTTCATTTATTTGAAACATTTTTCTAATGTTTTTCCCGCTTTTGCTTTAAACTCTCTGCCGTGGCTTCTCTCAGAATCTCACTGCAGGGGAACGCAGATCGCCTCAGTTAAATGAACCAAGAGCAAATGATTCCTCATTTTGGTTTCCATGAATAATGGAAGATTCATTTTCTTTCGGATCAAAGTTGTGTTTCCTCAGGCCTGTTTGACTTTGAGGTGTTCATGCATGTGACGTGATTGGAATGGTCGAAAAACACAATTACTAATTACGTCATGGGTTGTATTTTGTTGAAAGGCTCCTTTTTGGCAAGTCTATCGGCTCTCTTCACTGCATAGCAATTCCTGCCATACAATGCTCTGTTGTTGTACGTCAAGGTCATTCAGCTACAGTGCTCCCTCTCCATCTATCAGTCTTTCTCCTTGTTTCTGTCTCGCTCTCTCGCTCTCTCTCTCTCTCGTGCACGCGCTCGCTTGCCGAGAGAGTCTGCCTTTGTAGAGGCACTCCCTCCTTGTCCCACCTCAGGCCCCCTTGCTCATTCTCCACTCTTTTCTTCAGCTCCACCTCCCCACCCCACCTCCACCCTCTCTGCATTAAACATGTCATTACGGAGCTCAGCTAAAAGCTACAAACAAGCCTTGAATTACAATAAGACCATGGGTGCGTTGCTAAGCAATGCATCAGACTTCAGAGTGACGGACTGTGTGTGTTTGTGTGTGTGTGAGTATATATCAGGAATTATGTGTATTTGTGAGATACTGTAAATGTTTGTGTATTTGCATGCGTGTGAACACCCCTCTTGGGGGCGTTTATTTATTTCCTTGCTTGAGCAGAGTGATTGGTCTAATAGCATTGGCCCCTCACGCTAAGAGGAGCTCTAAATAAACAGCAGAGGATTTACGCAGGAAACACAAGTAGATAGATGAATGGATGGATGGAAGCAGAAAGAAGAAGAAGAGACTGATGTAGGTGAGATGATATAAGTTGACAGATGGGAAGAGAGAGGAATGTCGGGAAGTAAAAGAAGTGAAAACAGTGAGAGATGGAGGGGAAGACCAGCGACGGAGGAACGGGGAGAAAGAGGGGGCGTGCAGCGCTAATCGCTGGCTTTCTGATGCAGAGAGGATAGCATGTGGGACAGGCTCCTTGTAACCTTGGTAACAGTCTTGAAACCTTTTCCTGCGGAGCATGTCAGTGTTTGTTCAAGTCTCTTGTCCCCACGCGCGCGCGCACACACACACACTCTTCACAAGCAGAACTGAAGGGTTCACCACACTTGTATAAAACCTTTCTGCTGCTCGGGGACCTTCAGTCAGCGTGGACGAGATGGAAGAGGGTTAACGGAAAAGACTGTGAGGAGATCCTCATGTTTATTCTAGATTGCTTGGTTGAGTGCTGCTACTGTCCTCCTTTTTTTTTGCTCTCAATCTCTTGCTGTTGGCCCTCATAGTAAGCTGTGTGTGTGTGTGTGTGTGTGTGTGTGTGTGTGTGGAAAGGCTGTAGTGGTATACTATGTTCACACATCACTAATTGACTGATAAGAGCTGACACTCAGAGTGAGAGCTGTCACTGTGTGCGTTTGGTTTGTACATTATGTGTGCACATGCTCTTTGTATTCAGGTTGTGGCCCAACATTGTATTTTTAGCTTCTCCTCTCATTTTGGCATGCTGTGTCGTGTCACCATTATATAGCCATGGTGTCACCTTGTCACCACATATTTTTTTCAGTATTGCTTCCTCTTACCTATGAGCCATCCAGCATATCCTACTTTGCAGCTCCTATTTATAATTTTTTCTTTTAATGTATATTACATGATCAGGGTTTAAACATTCAAGGAGCCTCAGTGATGCAACTACTGAACATCTAATCTTGTTCTTTACCTCGGTGTCTGAACCCATCGTAGATGAGGAGCGAGGGGACGACCATGCTCGTCATCATGATGACAGACTGCTGTCTGGCCGGCTGGAGCGCGAGCAGGAGAAAGTGCTCAGGTAAGGGGGTGTGGCTGATTAGCCCATGTGCTAATTTATCCTTATTAACCCAAATTCGAATGCTTGCTAATTGAAATGGTGTTATTAATTAGAAATTGCATATATTTTTGTTAATAAAATCTTCTTCTAAACACACAATATCTAAAACACAAATGTGTTTACTTCCAGAGAGTCCAAGGAGCTGGCAGAGTTTACTCAGATGCACCCTGCTCCGCTGTCTAGCGGCCTGACAGCTAGTATGATGACACCCAGCCTCATGACCCCCAACCTTATGGTAACAGGAGGGGCCGCCCTGGCAGGGGCAGGGCGATGGCCTCCCGACCCCTCAACTCTGACCTCTCACCCCTGGATGCCCCGTCCTGGGGCTCCCCCAGTCTGGCTCTCCAGCTCACCTTACAGTAAGTGGACCTACACCCGATGAAAGACACTTACTATTACAAGCAAATGATTAGATAAGAAAATTCTTATATCAGGAAAAAAAGTGATTATAGGTACTGAAATAATGACCCCATAAGTCTATTATCAGAAAATTGATCTGCACTGATTTTGATAAACAGTTCATTTTTGAATGTTCTAAGTAATTTTTCAAGCTGAATTTCAATACCAAGTTCTAACCTTTCAATTACATGTTATTAGCTTTAATTTATTGGCACAATATTTTCAAGTGTTCCACATGCATGATAAATGCAGAAGTTGATTCTTTGTCGGACTTGAATGACCTTTCATGTCTTCATGTGAGCTGCCACTTGATATATCCCCTAAATGTCATCTGCAAGGTGTAGTTAGTAGTACTATAGTTTGCAGTGTGCAGCTCTTGGCCTTTCCAGTGAGCATATATGTTTTACTGTGTCAGTTATCCAACCTGGTACTAAAGAGTCTAAATCAGTTCACCACCAGCATGAAGAATGCTTGCAAAATTTTACATGCACTTGTGTAGCCTTTTCTGATTGGTGTAGCAAAAAAGGGAGGTGTTGTCTGTCTGTGGCTCGTCCAGCAGCAGCCTCCAGGGGTCAAGTTCCTCAGACATTCCTGATCTTTGCAGGACATTCCTGCTCCTCCAGCGCTCGCTGTCCAGAAATAACAGCATCAAGACATACATACTTGTGTGAGCTTAAATACCTCCATATGGCTTCAACATGGGTATAAACACTGGGTGAAGAATGATGCTAAGTAAATGTTGGTTTTACCTAAGCTGAGAATTTTTTTTTTTTTCCTTTTCCATGTTTTCTTTCCATTTTCACCTATTTCTTCCCCTGCTCTCCCATTCAGGCCTGGGTCCTTCCTCACTCCACCAGACCCTCCCCCCAGGCTACCCACCCTCTCTGCCAGGCTCCATACCCCCTCACTACCAGTTTGCCAGGGACCCACAGTCTGGACAGCTAATAGTCATCCCCACTGAACACCTGCCACACTATGGTATGAAAGCCGCTCTCTCTTAATGTGTGTGTGTGTGCATGTACATGAATCTAAAGTAGAAGCATAATGTTGGTTTGCAGATTTTATCACTTATAAAATTACTATGTGTTGCATACTAGCGAAAATAAACTATTACCACATTCATTCTGAAACGGATGTTAGTATAAGTAATTACTGTATACAAATAAGACCCTGTCCAGCAATATTAACAGCCTCCATATGTTATTGTGAACTGTGTGGCAGTAGTTTTTTTGCTTTCTGATGCTTTACAGCACAAACAGGACAGCGCTGTGATGCACTTGAAACATGATTATCCTCTTCTCTAAAGTGAAAGAGAAAACAAACCTAATAGCTTCACAATAGAGCAGTGATTCCCAAACAGGGTACTTGTACCCAGGCGGCACTTCTACATCTCCAATGGAGTACATGGAAATATCGTAGCTCAAAAAATATATAAATTATAGTTTGATTAAAAATATAGGCACATACATTAGCTGAAACAAAAATCTTGTGATTAAGAAGGTGTATAAACATTTAGCTTAAAGTACTTGGTAAACAGTTCAAATAGTTAGCTGAAAGCACTGTTGGTAAATTGTAAATTTTTTCCAGGGATTGTACGATAGTCTTCATTTTTAGAAATGAGGCAGTAACAACGCTGTCAAACATGCTCATTTCTTTACCTTCAATACAACAACTTTGAAAGAATGCTACATTAACAGTGTTCCATTTTAAATATGGATTTTAATCGTGCCCTCCTCCATTGTTCTGCAGGAGGTGATGTACTGGAGCGTGGAGCCCCTGTGTGGTCAGGGGGAATATACAGTACAGGCAGCTCCTTGCAGCATGCAGCCCAGCTCCAGCTCCTCTCCCAGCAGCAGATGCTCCGGCAACAGGAGCTGCTCATGATCCAGCAGCACACCGCGCAGGTCCTGGAGCTGCAGAGGAACGCACAGCTAGTTGTAAGTGGAGTTGGTGTAGTTAAGCTCTCACCCATCAATAATTACACATACGTCAAACCCCATATTCAAAGACATTTACATGCCCAAATATGTATGATATATATCCCTACTGAAGACTTTTATCTTTTAAAAAGGGTCAAAAATATATTTTTAATTTGTTAAACTTTGTGGCTCATTTGTGTTTTTCACACACTTTTATGATAAAATACAACACATTCACTGAACAGCCACTTACACAGCATCCTGCAGCCGCAGAAGATTACGGTCAAGGAAGTCTAAACAATGCAACCACAAATTAATATTTATACTTTGAATATGTCACATCATGAATACAAAGCCGTCTCCTCTCCCCGTGTTTCAGGAGCGTTTAAAGGCCAGTGAGCATCGGCCGGAGATGGAAGAAAAAGCAGACAAGCGGAACGCCGACCCCAAACTCCGCCCCACCTCGGTATCTTCCCCGTCTCCCTCACCCGTCCTGCACCCCCGCAAACCGCCCCCCCACTCTCGCTCGCCAACCCCGTCTACCTCCTCCCTCACCCCGCTGCCTCCGCTCCCTTCGCCAGTGACCACCCTCAAGTCAGAGGAAGGTGGGCAGAGAGTGTTGTCTCACCCGCCGACACCCCTGCCTCACCCGCCTTCTCCACGCTCAGCCTCTCCGCCTCCATCCTCCCCACGGCGACCTAAACAGGAGGTGTCCGAGGAGGGCGAAGTGGGACGGAGGGACCAGAGAAGGGGACAGAAGCCGGCCTCTGCGTCCTTTCAAGGCATCTACTCTGGTGAGTCATCAGCTGCTCACCCTGTATATTAACCGAGTTAGAGACACTTGTATTCTTGTGTATTTGTGGCTAAATGTTTGTATATTATACAGGAGGTTTATGAGATGTTGGAGCTCATCTAGTTTGTTTGATACTTTATGAGCTTCAGTCATGAGGCTGAGTATATAAGATAAGTTTCCAGTAGTGTGAAATATTGAAGAATGTTTGAGTAATGGATAAATCAGGCCTGTGCTTGATTTTGGTATTAATTTCTGTATTTTTGCTTTATTGTTATGACAGATCTCCCTCCAGGTTACCCATACCAGTCCATCAGTGCCCCATTTGGCTCAACTTTCCCCCCTTATCACATCCCAGCACCCACAGGGGCAAACACAGAAGTTGTCCCACCCCACCACTCCCGCTCTCCTGCCTCTGCTGCCCCTTTGCCCTCAGCCCACCTCCATTCAAGGCTGTTGGATGCAGACATCAAGCCAGAGAAAGTAGAGCCGTCAAAGACGGGATCTTTTCTCAAGCAGGAACCCGGCGTGGAGCCGCCTCAGCTTGACATGCCGCCAGAACCTCTGGGTCCCCTTCACCAGAGCTGCAGCCCTGTGCTAGCCAGCCAGGACAGAGACGAAGACGGGGAAGCCCAGAAGCCCCATGCTCAAACGCTTCCTCTTTGTGTCCCCAGCCCTCCACTGCAACGAGCTAAAAGACTGGAAGAAGTAAGGGAGGAAGAGAAGGAAGGAGGGCAAATCAAAATGGAGGTGTCATCTTACTCCTGTCAGGCTGCATATCCCCTGCCTCCTCCACACACAGAAGCCGAGCCGAAACCAGAGGTCATCAAGGATCCAGAACGATACCCATCATGCATCACTGCAGATTCAGACAGCCAGGAATCAGGTCTGATGTGCTCGTCACTAGAGCAAACCACCAGTGCTATGTGTGACCAAGAACAGCCAGACACTCGAATCAACTCACACACTCCCATTCAAAAAGAAAGTGTCGCTGAAACTCCCATTTATCCTCATCCCACCTCCAACTCCCCACTCACGCTGGTCACCGGTCCAGAGGATCCCATGGCAGGGATGCTTGCTCTGCTGACGGCCAGTGAAATGGCCCAGGCACGCCCCTGTACCCCGCCTGCTCAAATACTCATACCGCAAATAGAAAACCCTCCCCTGGGTGCAGACTGCAGCAGCGCCGGTGCTCTGGAGATGGTGGCACTAGAGGGGATGGCCCTGCTTAGCCAAATGGCCCAGCATGAGATGGAGAACATCAGCCTGGAGCGAGGTGAGTGGATATAAGGGGGGTAAGAGGTGGGGAAATGTAGGGCAATAAGAGAGGAGAGGAATAAAAAGAAATGGTTAAATTAAAACTAATAATATTCATGTGCGTCCCATTCAGATCTGACTTTAGAGGGTTTGGACTGTCTTCTTGAAGCAAGCAGGCAGATTTTGTTGGAGGCCATTGAGAAACAGTCCCACATTGATCTGCCCAGAACGCTGGACCCCAACAAGAAGTACAGCTGGAGGCAGAGGAAGGAGGAGCCGGTAAGATGAAGAGCAGTGTCAGCCAGAGAAGAAAATGTGCCCGTCTGTGAAATGTTGTGACACTTTCCTCTCACCTCTGTAGCTGTACAGTAAAATGTCTGTGGACGTGTTGGATGCAGTGGAAGTGGAATACCGCGTTCGCCTGGCCGAGCTGCAGAAGACGTATAAGGAGAAGCAGAGAGATTTGAGCAGGCTGCAGAGACGCAGAGACAAACGGTGAGTGTTATTTCACGTAGCTGCACATACTTACTGTAAGAGCCACATACGAGATAATTTAACCACTCTACTGCTATTACACAGCGATACACACGACTAAAACAATCATTCCCTCGCCGCCATCCTAGACAAACATACACCTATAACTCTTTTATGCATATGTCAGTGAGCGTCAGCAGCAGGAGGATGAGAGGCGGAGTCTGACAAGGCGGGGCAGAGGACGACCCAGGAAAAGGAAACACTTAACTACACCTCCTAAACTGGACAGCAGGCCTGGAAAGTGAGTGTGACTTACAGCTCAATTCAACCATTTTTATACCAATTTTGCATGTTTTTCTGTTTGCATGTTTTTTGGTGTTGTGGCATGTACAGTGCAAATATTCCGATGTCTCAGGGTGGGTAGGACAGTGCAATACTCGGAGGACTCTGAAGCTGGGGAGGGACAGAAGAAGAGGTTCCGGGTGTCCAGAGGAGAAGAAGAGGAGACGGAGGCAGGAAGTGGAGGAGTGAAGGTGAAAAAGAAGAAAAAGAAGAAGAAGAGCTGGAATGACCAGGAGCCATCCACTAGTCATTCTCTGGAGGTAGGCCTCTTGGAAATGCATGTTTTGATTATGGCTGCAGTGTTAATATGCCATTGTTCCAGTAAATTAATGAAGTTCTTTGTGTTTTTTGTGGCATTTTCAGCAGAAGGCGAAGCGTGGCCACGTCTGTGAGCAGGAGCAGCTGGCGTCAGACCTCGACAGAGCGCTCTCGCTCTCGCAGCTCGGCTCACTCAGTGCGTCTCGCAAACTTGCCTCCAGCTCAAAAGTAGTTAACAAGTCGAAGGGCAAGTCTGTGGAAAGTCAGATGAAGGAGCGTGGCATCCACCCGTCTGTCAAAGGAGGGAAGCACAAAATGGCTGCCAAGGCTTCTGCTTCGGAGACCGTCCAGAAGGAGAAAGGTCAGAAGAAGACTGCTTTGTTCTCTCCCATGAGATCAGAGCTCAGCAGCTGCTCCAACAGTGAGTACCTGGAGACGAGACACAACTGCTTTATATGACTGATGTTGTCAGATCAGAACTAATGAAGTCCAAGTAATGTTTTTAGAAACCATCATCAAACCACTGCTGTCAGTAACTCTGTGCTGTACCTCTGGTTCTAGTTTGTAGAAAGTGATAAGGCTGGAAGTACTCTATTTGTCTTGATATTTCTCCACTTACTAGTTGAGTCTTGAGTTACGATTACTTTTGTTTTCTTGTTGTCAACAAATCCCATGAACAGTAACAACAAGTAATAGTCGGTGTGTCCAAAGCTTGATATCTAAAATACTCTAGAGCGCAAAATGTGTATTCACCTGCCACTGAAAATAGTTCCCAGCAAAAGTACTATTTCGTCCTGTTCAAGTATGAATAGAACAATGTATATGTGACCTGTTGTAAGAGATTTTACATCTTCAGTAGAAGATAAAGGCCCACAGACAGGGTAGTGAAGTGGGAAAAAATTGAGAGACGGCCTAGGAAATAGTTGGCTTTGGTATTTTTATGGGATTTGTTTACAAGAAAATAAATAACGCCAGACTTGCGCTTAAAAAACTGACTCATGGGTTATGAATCATTAACCGTACTTTCTCTGCACCAGACTCAGATTCAGAGGAGCGCACTTCTGCTCAAAGGGGCTGGCCCCCTCCCTCAGGGACGCGTTCCCTAGACAACCTGACCAGGAAGAGGCGGTCTGCATCGTCGCCGACATCCCTGCTATCCAGTCAAAAGTCTCAGAAGAAGAAACACAAGCACTTATCCCTGCTGCTGGAGGAAGCGGGCCTCAGCTCCTCTGACGACTCCTTCGACCAAGGTTACTGACCATATCCTACAGCTCCTCGCCCCTCGCTGTTGAGTCAGACAAAAATGTGTCTGTGAGCCTTGTCACAGCTTGTGTCTTTGTTTGCATTTTGCTAAGGCAGCTGTTTTCAGACTGTGCTTTAGCTTGACCATCCCTACCTCTCTTGCTGCTGGCTTCTCTGCAAAGTTGCCTTTTAAAAAAAAAAAAGAGTTTACCTATTTCTATTATGTGTTTTTTTTTTTTAATTGCCTGGATTGCAAATCGTGTTTTTGTAGCATTTTGTACATTGAAAAATTGTGTGAATTGTGAGATTTTTTTCATAAAGTTGTATTGCAGTTTGATACCTATAAGCTTTATTAAAAGTGTTGATTTAATTGGCACAGAAAGCGAAGCGCTGTGGTCCTTGTGTCTGCTTCATCTGTCTGTCCGTCTCTGTCACTCTGTCCAGCTGCCACTGCACCTCACACATCCTTAAGACGGCTCTGTTCGTCAAATATCCCTTCAGTTCCTCCTGGCAAAGTCTGAAAAACACTGTTCAAGTTTAAAAGTTTACATCTGGAAAACTGAAACATGTAGAAGGTTGATGGTGGATTTCCTGGTCAGTTTAAATGGTCATAAAGTAAAGGGAAAAGTAATAATAATTTTTTTTCTATTTTAGTAAGGTTAGTTACATTTACATCAGACTAAATGTTTATTGATGATGTGGTCCAGCTTTTTGGCGATGTGGGGGAAATGAATGCATTCCTACTCATTCTAAACTTGAATGGCACCATATTACATGTTGGGGATATTTGGACAATAGAGCTCCTCTGTCTACTAAACCTTCAAATAACCCTTTTCCCTTTTACGTTGCGCTCTCAGACACCTTGCTCTGTCTTCTTACCTTTCCCTCCTCACCTCTGCCCCCCCCCCCACCGCTGTCTTACCCATGATGCTTTGAGTGTCTCTCAGCCTTGTTCCATGTGCTTGTGCTGCTGCTGCAACATTACAGAAGCTTGGCAAGGACTAGCGCAGCCTTGAGCCTATGCTACCTCGCTACAGCTAGTCTAAGCTGTGGCTAAAGCTTTGCTTAAGCTTGACTTTGCTAAGGCCAGGCTATGCTATGGCTAGGCTGCGCTTTCGCCGCTGCGCTGCCCCGCCCTGCCCTGCCTGAGGCCACACCCCTGTCACCTGCTCTGTAAGTAGAAGGTGCCCCTCCCTTTATTCTTTTTTGACCTCTAACATGGGCTATGCTGAAATTGAACTACATACACAGAACATTATCTTTTACCTTATTTTTGTTTTTATACTTTTACTGTTCTCACAAATCAAAGCTCGCTAATGAGAGCCATGGTTACCCCCACTTACCCAAAACTTTCTCCTGATGGCTTTTAAAAGTTTAAAGGAAGACTTTTTGTGCTCTGCTGGGACAGAGGATGTAATGAACCATGTTATACCAAGGGGCCTCACAGGGCTGTCCTCTCAGTGCCTACCTGTTGTATCATCTGCTTGCTACTGTTAGCACATAGTGGATTCACAGTACAGGGTGCACCAGATTTGGCTCCTAAAACAATAATTAGTAAGTTAAATAAGTTTTTTAATTTTTTTTATTTTAATTGGTCCATTTTATTTTTGTATGGAACCACAACAAAAGTAAACAGTTTAATTCAAACAAGCCTTATAAATCAAATTAAGCATTATTGTTTTAGTTAAAGAGCAACTTAATGCTGCTAAAATCCTTTTCATCAGCTTTTGTTGACCTCCATTGGTTTAACACCTTGCGGCAGTGATGTACAGGTGTACTCTGGTACACCATGACATCACCTCTTGGTGTGGTTAGAGGTGTGACGTACTCGAAACTTTAAACACAGAGGGCTGCATAACCCTTCTTTTCAACCTGGTGTTAAGATATTTTTAAATAAAAATACAAAATAGCTAATTTTATGCTACTATAATAAGTTAGGTTGTCTGGTGGTTGAAGAGATCTTGTACTGTGCATCCACCCTCAATGTTAACACCCTAACCCCTGTGGAGACCCTCCTCCTGCTCATCTGTTGCCATGGACCTAACTGCTAACTACCAGAAACACACAGCTAACCCGCAGTATTATACTGTGTGTGTGTGTCTGTGTGCGCGTGCTCGCACACATACAATAGTTTATATCTGAGTCAGAGTTTCAGCTAACATGGTCTCAGCAGCTGTGTGTATCTCATATGCATGTATGTGCTAAATCAGTTTTTCCTGCTGTATCTTGCTTACTCTGCATTACATTGTGAAGGCAGGCTGCAGTGGTTTGTCAGTCTCTGTCCTTTCTCTCCAGTCTTGTCTCTGATCAGCCTAGATGTTAAGCTGTGAGATAATGCTTGTGTGTGCGTCTGTGTCTATCTGGGTATTTGTCTAGACAGTCTGTTATTGTCAGATTCATGCTACCACAGTGTCTTGTGTTAGAAAAGTTGCATCTTGATTTTCTTAATTCAACATCTCTGTGGTGCAGTCTTTGTGTCTGCAGTGAGTAGAAACAATAGGAAGTGATTTGACCTTTGGCCCAGACCCATGCTGCAGCCACATCTCAGAACTGAAAATCTTTTCTCTTAAACAGAGACCTCCGAGGATGACGACGACAATGAGGATGAGTCCGATTCGGACGATGATGGCGGCTGTGAGGAGAGCGGGCTGGGTCTGCTGGCCAGGTTTGCGGCGAGCGCGCTCCCAGTCAGCTCCACCCCATTGAGCCTTCTCCATGACGGCAAACACCGCAGCAGGCAAAGCACTCTGGGTAACACAACACAACCGATACAAATGAGTTGTGCATTACAAAGTGTCATGTCTGTGAAAAGGTATTTATTTATTTCTAATTTTAATCATGTTAATAAATTAAATGATCCATACAAAACAATACATTTAGTAACATCAACAAGAAAATACAAATAGACAAGGGCTCCACCACAGTCCCATACCACACACATTACATCTCTGGTCCATGTACTGAGTTGACCAATAAACTGAAAATTAAGGTAAATACAATCAAGAACAAGTACATTTGAGGTACATGAGCAGAGTAAATAATAAAGTGCAAATAATGAATAAATCTGAGAGAGCAAATGATTCCAGTCTGATGGTGCTTTAAACTTAGAGGCAAGTCTCCCAGTTTCTTTAAGATTCTAGGCACAATTTTAAAAAAGGATGAAGGTGTGTTTCAGAGGTGTTCTGCTACATGATATCTCTGGAAAAATTAAACTATATGTAACAGTGTCATCTGCATATAACTGAACAAAATAAATACAACGCATTTTTGGAAAATCATTAATAAAAATTGAAGAAATATAGATTTTTGTGGTACACCCTTCTTAATATGGGTTGTGACAAAAAGAAACAATGACGACTGTGAAGGTAAGAATTAAGCCAGAACAATGCCTGTTGAGAAACACCACTAGCATAACGTTTAACTAGCAGGAGTTGATATCACCAATAACCAAAAAACAAAAACAAACAAAAATAGGACATAAATTCACACATAAAAACACCACAGGGCAAAAGCTCAAGTGAATTTTATTAGTTACAGAAAACCCTCATCCCTTGATAAACATGGGCTCAAACAGAAGTGAGAAAGTAAAATGCACAGAAATAAACTAAGAATAGCACACGAGAGCAGTCTTTTTCACATTATTAATGATAGTTTTTGATTGTCTGTAGCTGAAGGCCACAGGATAACACAATTTACGGCAGTGTTTACAGTCTGTACCATCCAAATCTTAAAAGGTGTTGGGGAGTGGCAACTCAAAAAAAAGTGCTGTAGACAATCATAAAAAGCAAAGATGCATTAACCAGTCACAGTAGCCCCGCACTATATAATACTAATCAATAGTCCTTTCAAGTAGGGTGACTCAGTTAATGTTAAGGTAGGAAAAGAAGTTAAAGAAAATAAAGGGGAGCTCGCTTGAATGATGACAACACATACGTATTCCATCATGGAAAATGTTATGAGAAGTCACAAAGAAAAGACTGCTTCTGAAGGGTGGCTGAACAGACTTGGATTGCCATCAATGATCACTCTCAATGTAGATGGATACAATACTGAATATTTCATGCTGAGGTCTCTCGGAGTTTCTTCTTAACAGTCAAATTTCCATGCGTTTCTTGAGTAGCCCTGGCGCTGACATATGGATTGAACTCATTATGCAAGAGCCACTGCTTACTCCTTGCAAGCCGAAGAATCCTCACTGTGTCCTAGAAATGATGTTGTACCAGGATTGGCCACGGACAAGCTCTGGCATCCTGCTGAGGCAAGGTGTGAGAATGGTGCACACTCACAGTGACTGGGGGAGTAAGAAAATTTCTCTTACCAAGACAAGTGGGATAAGTTGTTTCACAAAGCTGACAACATCGCTGCCCTTCGCGATTTCAGGAACTTAAATGAAACACAGATTCAAAGATCTGCTTTCAGCATCCTCCACCCTAACCTTAAGGTATGGATTTTCTTTTTCAAGAGTCTCCACCCGTAAACCATACATCAACCACATCATAAGCATTATCCTCATTTAGCTCACTTTCTGTTCCAGTTCAGACACTTGCTCCCAAAGAGTAGTCAGCCATCCTTGAATGTTATTGGCTGACTTGGATTATATCAGTTGATTTTTTTTGTTGTTGAAATGGACATTTCAGATTTGATCTGCTGTGTGGCATCCGAAATGGTTTGAGGAGAGACCTCGTGCTGGTCCGTTGTGGGAAATCCCCTCCAAGAAACTGCCTGACAACAGCTCCAAATTCCAAAATTAAGACAAAAAACATTAGTCTGTGCAAAATACACTGATCAGCCATACCATTATGACCACCTGCCTAATATTGTGTCGGTCCCCCTTTTGCCACCAAAATAGCCCTGACCCGTCGAGGCATGGACTTCACTAGACTTCTGAAGGTGTGCTGTGGTATCTGGCACCAAGATGTCAGCAGCAGATCTTTTAAGTCCCGTAAGGTGAGTCCTCAAGGATCTGGAGAATTTGGAGGCCAAGTCAACACCTTAACCCCAAACTTTCCTGCTTTGTGGCAGGGTGCATTATCCTGCTGAAAGAGGGCACAGCCATCAGACCTTGAAAGAGTGTAAATGGTCTTCAACAGTGTTACGTGTCAAACTAACATCCACATGAATGGCAGGACCCAATGTCCAGGACCCAGGCCACCTTCTTCCACTGCGCCGTAGTTCGGTTCTGATGCTCACATCCCCATTTCAGGCGCTTTCGACAGTCAACAGGGGTCAGCATGGGCATTCTGACTGGTCTGCAGTTACGGGGCCCTTTACGAAACAAACTGTGATGCGTGCTCTGACACCTTTCTATCAGAACCAGCAATTTGACCTGAAGTAGCTCGTCTGTTGGATCGGACCACACGGGCCAGCCTTCGCTCCCCACATGCATCAGTGGCCCTGTCACCACTTCACCACTTTTCGTCCCTTGGACTGACAACTGCAGAGCAGGAACACCTCACAAGAGCTGCAGTTTTGGGGATGCTTTGACCCAGTCGTCATCACAGTTTGCTCATCAAAGTTGCTCAAATCCTTCCTGCTTCAACACATCAACTTTGAGGACAAAATGTTCACTGGCTGCCTAATATATCACCCCCACTGAAATGACATGGTCATAATGTTATAGCTGATCGGTGTATAGTTTTATAGGAATTCTACGCCCTGAATGATGTTAATTAGTAATGCAAACAAAGCATGCAACACGCAGTGGCCATCTTCACAAATTCATTGAAGGTTGACAGAATCTCTGTTTATTCAGTAGAAAATAACAGCGATTTGGCTTTCCTTATTATATTTCAAGAAAACATAGACCAACCTGTTCGCTGCACCAACTCTCCTGCATTTACAAATTTCACAGGTTTCCCTGACAGCATTTCAGGCTATAATTGTAATTTTTGGTGGTTGAGCCACCTAAGCATTTATTCAGGATTGTGTTATTGATTAATGGTTAAATAACCATTAATTTATAATTGTCACATCAAGGTGCATGTAATGATTCATTCTTGAATTATGTATTATTTTCAAATTGATCAATAGTCCTATTCACAGGGTTATTGATTTCAGAGAATCTAACACCTGGGTTTATTACTGTCTGCATGTCTATGGGAAGAGGCTGTGTTTTGTTTCTGTAAAGTGTGTGAGACAGGAAGAGTTTTTCCATCATGTGACACTCTCCTCTCCTCCATCAGGGTCATCCGAGTGTGAGTGGTCGGACTCTGGCTCGGACTTGCGGCTGAGAAAGTTCCCCTCCCTTCTGCACGGCAAACGCTCTGTCCCAGAGCTCCCCTTGTTGCCCCCGGCAACCCGCCGCATCGACCAGACCAGCCCCACCAAGCAAGACGAAGCACAGCCAGTCAAACACAAGCCTCTTCCCAAACCACGGCCTTCTCCCCGGTCGCCACGGCAGTTTAGCTTCGACCTCCCCACCAGCTCTGGGGTCGGAGGCTTCAGCGAGGACGAGGGCTGGAACCGACGACGCAGTGAGAGGATTTTCCTCCATGATGCCACCGCCTCGGCCAGTCAGATGTCTGTGTCTGCCTCTGCTTCCACCAGTCAGAGCTCCCCCTCCAGCTCAGCCCCACCTCTCACCCCAAAGCCCGCCTCCAGACCCAAACCCACTCCGCCCAGCAGAGAGGGGAAAGATGCGGTGAAAGTACGTTAATTATTCATCGGGTTGTTATTCTTCAACTGAGACTGGAAAAACAAAGAGACTCTTTTTTACCCCCTCCGTACTTTGCTTATCTTTCTTCTCTGTTACTGTTTCACTCCTCTCCTCAAACTCCCATTCCCTCACATCCTTTTGTCTCCCTCAACACCTCTGTGTTCATGAGTGTGTGTTTAAGTGTATGTGTCAGAGTGCCAGCAGGGTTCCCCAGTACATCAGTCACTGCAGCACTCCCCTGCTGCCTGTGTCGTGTTGCTGACAAGAATGGGCAACTGCAGGCAGCCTGGCATCATCCCACCCTCCGTGTGTGTGTGTGTGTGTGTGTGTGTGTGTGTTAGAAAATATAAATCTGTCCAGTAGATCCTCAGTAGCATCCGTCATATGCATGTTTTAATTCTGTGTGTTGTGATTTTTGTAAATCAGAAAAAGAAGCTGAAGGTCTCTCCTCTTCCTGTGAGCCCGTCCACTCTGTGTAGTCCAATCCCAGAGGGCCCTGTCCCTCTAAGCCTCAGCCCGGCACGCAAGAGCCAACCAAAAGCCAAGACCAAGGCCAGAGAGGTCAGTGGGATGATGGATCAGCTGCAAAGTCATTACAGATGTGAACTTAATAATCCTGACAAGGACAAAACCAGAACACTTTAGTTATTAGAACTAAATGTGCACACACACTTTACTTTCTAGCTCGCCATGTTGCACAAAAACATGAATAAACAAGAATTGAACTGATAGCTTCTGTTGTGATTAACACAGTTAGTGAGAGAAAAAAGTAAACCTCTTGCAACGTGTGATTTCTGCCAAAGTGTTGCATTACCCTCCGTCTGCCACCAGCCAAAACTGGAGTTTGTTTTGGAAACACAAAAGGCAGCTTAAATGTGTGCAGAGCTCTTTTGTGGTGGTGGAGCAGCAGAAAATAGTATTTAGCAGCATAAGTGTTGTAATATGTTTGCTGTTTCACTTTAAAAAGTTAATTTGTGGTGTGTCAGCCTGGTATTTTGGGCGGCTGCCACAAATTAACCTTAGTAGTAGGAGAATTTCACCATCATTGTGATTTTTTTTTTTTTTTTTTTTAATCTGGGTTTTTGCAACGTAAACTAATACATTTCAGGCAGTTGATTTTCATAATTAGTGCTGTGATATAAAGCCCGTGTGTGTGTGTGTGTGTGTGTTTTTGCAGCCTTCCAGGGGAGCGGTGAGCCGGCTGATGGAGAGCATGGCGGCAGACGAAGACTTCGAGCCCAACCAGGACAGCAGCTTCAGTGAAGATGAACTCCTCCCACCGCGCAGCAACAGCGTGTCGGAGAGGTCCTCCACACCTGGTCTGTACACAAAGACACCATCTACTGCTGCTTCCTGCTTACAGACTTGGCTTACACAGTAGATAATGATATGCCTATTTATTGTACGTGTTCAGCTCCAGTGCAGTGCGTGTTGGATAAGGACTCTCTGGTGGATGGACTCCGAGTTTTGATCCCGATGGACGACCAACTACTGTACGCGGGACATGTGAACACTGTACACTCCCCTGACATGTGAGTACAGACTTTAAACTTCATTGGGTTAAAAAAAAAAGCCTGGAGAACAGTGATGGATTTGCAGTTTTTTAATAATGGAAACACACACACATCTGTTTGCACTATTAAAAGCTGTAAATCAATCAGTGTGCTCCAATTTTCTTCCCCTGTAAAGTTTGCTGTCCTTGATTTGAGAAGTACCTGTTTAAGCTGCGCATGGCTGGATAAACCCCCAGACATTTAAACTATTGTTAGGCAGCGTCTGCAGGGTTTTTTTTTTTACGTGCACAACACAGAGACTAGGATTTTAACTGGTCACTGTGTTTCATACATGCATAGATGCTCTTTATTTTGTTGAAGAAATAGATATTTTGGGTAATACACTTATTTTCTTTCTTGCTGAGAGTCAGATGAGGAGATTGATACCACTTAATACTGCCATCTGTGGTGTCTGTACACTAAACATAAAGCTATCAGCTACTTAGCTTAGCATTAAGATTGGAAGCAGGGGAAAACAGCTAGCCAAACTTTAGTATTGACTAAACAAACAAGATATAATGTGTTCATTAGCAAGCTTTAGAGATGCTGTAAGGCAGTTAAGGAACTGTGGATAGCCCCAGGCTAGCTATTTCCAATCTTTATGCTAAGCTAAGCTAACTGGCTGCTGGATGTGGCTTTATATTTAACCGTACAGACATGTGTGTTGTCAATCTTCTCATCTAACTCTTGGCAAAAAAGCATATGTCCCCGACATGTCAAACTATTCCTTTAAACAAGCACAAACTTGCATACACACAAACATGAAAACATAAAGTGTTACATTTATATGTAATTTAACTGAGGCTCAAATCCAGAGAAGCTTCATTATAAGAAAACAAACAGACTAAAGCCCTATTCAGGCACGATTAATATTCCAGGGGGATGCGGGTATAAACCGAGCTCTGCTCTGGAAAACACTTTAGCCTGAGCCAAAGCACTACAATGGTAGTTACTAAAAGACAAGGCATTCCTCAGCCTGCTTATCATTAAAGCAGTCAATTAAGATAAAGTGCTGTCTCACTGACCCCAAACTTTTGACCCTGACCCTTTTCCCACATTGCTTCCCTGCAGATACAGCGTGGTGGTGGAGGGGGAGAGAGGGAACCGACCGCACATCTACTGTTTGGAACAACTGCTGCAGGAGGCTGTGAGTAAACTGGATCACCTATCGATCCTCTGCACATTTGGAAGACTCAAATGTTACACATCTCTTTACTTCCTGTCATACATGAGATGTGAAACACTTTGAAGTGAAAGTGTTTTGTGCATGTGCCAAGTCTGTTGTATAATGTTGATGTATAACAGTTCTTCTGTATGTGCAGATAATCGATGTGAAACCTCCATCTGTGCGCTACCTCCCAGAGGGCACCCGCATCGCTGCCTACTGGAGCCAGCAGTACCGCTGCCTTTACCCCGGCACTGTTGTCAGCGGTACAACAACAGCACAAAAACACACACCCACCACTTACATGATATGATCCACAATCCTCTTACATGGACAATTTAATTGTAGCTGGCAGCACAAACAAATATAAAACAGCTTAACAGACCTTCAAAGTATAATGCATCAGAGTTTATTACGTTGAAGGGACTGATGGTAATGGGAACAAAACTGGTCTGGGTTCTGTTCTTATTGAACACTTTCAGTTAGCTGAGCTTTAATGCAATGAATCGTAAGAAACGATATTGCTTGTGTTACTGGATGTGACACAGTTATATAAATCAAAATACATGAGTTACAACAACAAGGCGTTTTTAACCTCTAAAATGTGTCAAAATCAAATGTTCTCTTCTTGCTTGTGACTGTCCCTCCCCCCAACCCCACCAAACAGGAAGTTCCGATATTGACGAGAATGATGATCTCATCACGGTGGAGTTTGACGACGGCGACACCGGCCGCATCCCCCTCTCACACATCAGACTGCTGCCGCCAGACTACAAGATCCACTGTGAGCGCGCGCGCACACACACTCAGTTGGTGGACAATGCTGTAACAGCAACATCTCATTTAATCATGACCTCATTAGATTTTTCTTGTTGCTTTTAGTTCTCCGTTGAAGCAGTGCTTTCACATGCAGTCAGATTTAAATTTGATCTTACCCTCACTGCTTGGTTTGAACCTTGATATGTTACTGCGTGTGTGCGCAGCATCACGTCTGACTGCATTTGCATGAATGCTATGCGCGTGGATAGATAGAGATAGATAGAGAGACAGCAGCATGCCTTTATTCGGGTGTCTTTGTTTTTCCTTGTTAAGAAACTTGAATAGCTGAAATGTCTTGCAGTCATGACGAAAGCTTGAGAAGCATATAGGTTCAATTCTTCAGACTCGCCATGAAGCCTGCTGGCTCTCTGCTTCTGTTCAGGCGCTGAGCCTTCCCCTGCACTACTCGTGGCCAGCTGCTCTAGGAGACGAGTCCGCAAATGCAGCAAAGAGGGCAAAGAGGCCGCCACAAAGCCAGAGGAGGCTGTGCCTAAGATCAAAGGAAAACCTGGTCGCAAACCCAAACCCAAACCAGGTGAGCTTATCGAACTTGACTCTAATGTATCATCGGACTGGTGAATGAATATGAATTTCATAGAAATGATTGACCTAAATGTCTTTTCAGTTAAAGAAAGAAAATGAGATTTTTGGGTACCGTGGGAGGTAAAAATAAAGGAGGGGTGCTTAAAATAAAACTAGTGCACTGTACTTTAAGTACTGCCATCACATTTGCCTTCATTTGAGATACGCTGCCTTTTTCCTTCTTTGAGTAATTCCTTGGGACCATCTCTTCACACACTGGAGCCAAATGTTTCAGCATAATGTCTTAAAAAAGAAATGGATTTTTAAATTATTTGGCTCAGTGGAAGTGCAGTGTGTTGCTCTCCTGAGTGCCTTATCCATTTAGGACAGTTGGAAATGGACTTCATTACTGTTGATTATTAGGAATAGTAATAGAAATGCGTAAAATGCAATTTCTTGATGTCATTATTCTAGCATATTTATCATAGAGACCATTAAAAAGCTAAAATCATCTTTGAGGAGTCTTTTTTTATATTTGTAAAACAACAGAACCAACAAAAATAGCTCAAGGCTCAGACAGGCCTTTCATCAGACATCTCATAGTTGACCATGGCTGTCATCTCTTTTGTATCAGTTTAATGAATTTGCTCAAACAGCTTTGTTGTTGTTCTGTAAAGCTCAGGGTCTATTACTCTAGCTGTAATATATGGCATGTCGCATGTCTGATTTGCTGATTCTGGCCTTGTTTCTACTGCGTAAGCAGTTCTTATATGCAGTGTTTTGTTTCAGAATTGTTTTCTTGCTGATTTGTCTACTGTTCTCAGCATGTGAGGCTGCAGACCACAAAAAACATGAAAGCCACACAATGAAAACATCAGCACATCCAGTATAAATCCATTTAGAGTGTAGTTGTTTGACCAAAAAAAGCAGAGAGTTGTTCAACTTCTTATTGTTTTTCCTTCTTCTTTCCAGAAACCTCCGTGAAGCCTGAGGGTCCTGCATCTTCCTCCACCCAGGCTGCAGAGCGACCCCAGCCTCCAGCCAAGCCTCCCCAGGACAGGACCTCTACTGTACAGAAGGCAGCTCAGGAGAAGCCCCGGCCTGCATCCCGGCCGACAATGGCAATCCAGGCAAAGCCGGGCCGCAAGAGTTCCACCACGTCCCCTGCAAGTAGTCCTACCCTTCCAAACCCAGTGCCCAGGAAAGCCAGCTCAGCCCTGCCTCCTGCTCCTAAAACTGCCCGCGCTCTACCCCCATCCCTCTACCCCTCCACCTATGGGAAGGTCCTGACTGTGGATCTGTACAGCGAGCCCAACCTCAGCTCATACAACAACCAGCGCAGAGAAAGAGAAAATTCCAGCAGTGTCAGTCCCACCACCAACAGACCGATGTCCAGGCCCAATATAGCATCATCATCTACTGCACCCAAGCAAAGTGCTTCGTCCACACCAAGACCCACTTCTGCTTCCACACCCAAAACCAAGCCCTCCTCGGACCATCACAGCAGCTCCAGACCTAGCCTCAGCTCTGGGCTCATACCCAGCCCCACCTCCAGGCTGTCAACAGGCAAGCCTGGCTCTTCACTGACTCCCAGACCTTCATCATCATTGTCTTCATTATCTTCATCATCTGCCCTCAGACCCAAACTGAAGATGCCATCCGACCAGCTATCCTCCAGCCCCAGACCCAGCCCCATCTCCAGACCCAAGTCCAGCTCAGGGCAAAATGACATGGGCTCGCTTGTGAGGCGCAAGCCACTGTCTGCGGAGCCCCTTGTGAAGCTCGACCATGAAGGTGTCACCTCCCCCAAGACCAAGAAGACCAAGGCTCTGATGTTGCTGGAGGGTCGGGGGGTCAGACGGGACCACACCCCCATAACCACAACCACAGCCACAGCCAATCAGAAACTGCTAAAGGCTAAACTGAGAGCTCCAGATAGAGAAACCGGCCTGCCAGAGAAAGACTCCACCTACAAAGTGCCAACGCTGGCTAAAGAGAAAGCAGATAGTCGTGGAGGTGCTGGTAGAGGACAGGAGATGGACAGCAGAGAGGAAAGGGGTAAAAAAGAGGAGAGAAAGGAAGCGGAGAAAAGAGAGGAGAGAAAGATGAAAGAGGAATCTCAGAGTAGCAGCAGCTCAGAGTCGGAGGAAGAAGGGGAGAAAGGGAAGAAGAAGTGCAAAAAGAAGAAATGCACCTCAAGTTGCTCTTCTTCCTCTTCATCCTGCTCTGGTTCATCCTCATCTTCTTCATCATCATCATCTTCGTCATCCTCTTCGTCCACTGATGACTCCTCCTGCAGCTCAGACGAAGAGAGGACCCTTACGCCCCCACCAGGCCCTGCCTCTCCTCCTCCGACAAAGGACAAACCAAAAGAAGAAACGAAAGAAGAAGAAGTGAAGAAGGAGGCGGAGGTAAAAGTGGAGGAAGAAGAGCTTTCTCCTCCCTCCCAATCTCCCTCACCTTCAACCTCTCCTACTCCTGCTGCTCCTGCTCCAACTAAACCCGCTAAACCAGCCACCGGGAAAGGGTCCGGGCAAAGGGGTCGTCCTCCGAAACCAAAGCCCGGCGGAGGAGAGGGGAAGGTGGGGAGACCAAAGCGGAGAGAGGGGGTCCATCTCCCTACAACCAAGGAGCTGGCTAAACGTCAGAGGCTTCCCAGTGTGGAGAACAGGCCCAAGATTTCTGCTTTCCTTCCAGCCAGACAGCTCTGGAAGTGGTTTGGGAAACCCACACAGGTGAGGAGACAAGTTTATACAGTAGATAGAAAACTTCATTATCATATTTTGAGAAATGGCTAGAGTTTTTGTCCGAATGTCTGTCCTTTCACTCTGTGACCAGCTCTGTCCTCTTCTGACCCCCACCTCCAGAGACGCGGTATGAAGGGCAAAGCTAAGAAGCTCTTCTATAAGGCTATTGTGCGTGGCCGAGAGATGATCCGCATCGGTGACTGTGCTGTGTTCCTGTCTGCCGGCCGGCCCAACCTGCCGTTCATCGGCCGCATACAGAGCATGTGGGAGTCGTGGGGCAGCAACATGGTGGTCAGAGTTAACTGGTTCTATCATCCAGAAGAGACAAATCCCGGCAAGAAACTAACCGACAAGAAGGTAGGAGTTAGAAACCACTTCTGAAGAAAAGAGTGCTCCCTAGAGCAGTAGCGCTCTGGTTGTCATTGTAAAGAAACAAAACTTTGCATCCTGATGAATCGCTATCTGAGAATTTAGATTTGTCATCCAGTAAAAGATAATTTTGTTCTTTGAATTATTTTGTCTGAATAACTGCAGGTCTTATTCACAGTGTTTTGACACGTATTTCCTTTCAAGAAGAAATGTAAAGAAAATAAATGTAATTCATGAAAGGAGAATAATTTAGTTCAATCTCATAACTAATAGAACCATCCTCCAACCAACCTCCTTCTTCTTTCCTCAAGCTCAATTATGACTTTTTTAATAATGTATGTGTGATTCATTCATAACCGCTAAGTAAAAGAAAAATGTTTGTGTGGGATTAGTTTCGAAGCTTTTTGCTAAGACTTCTTTCCTCTCCAGAACTGGGATCAGATGTGTGGTCAGTCTTTACCAGCAGCTCTGCATTCTTCTATCCAGAGAAAAGACTTCATGGAGGTGAGAAAAAATTTATTATTTCACCTGTGTTTTGAGCTTCAAAATCCCCAGTGATTTTATTATGACTATAAAGTAGAGCTTGGACAATATGGAGCCCCAAAACTGACTAAATGTTAAAAATATAACTGAATACATAATTAAATAATCATATTAGTAAAAAAAACATTCAACTGAGTGTAAAAGAAAATATAAAGCTTTATACTTTTACTTTAACTGCCAATAAACTGGTTTAAAAAGCATTTTGTTGTTTTCATTTAATCAGTTGATGAAATAAATCAAAACTTTATTTAACTTTTCGTTTCTCTTTCACTAGATCAATTTATAGCTAAACATATTGAGCACTAGACTTTTCAGCTAGCTACTTAGCTGAAGCTAGCTTAACGGCCTAAACAAGTAATGTTATTCATCCATATCTTGTACTCCATACTGATGTAACACCACTCTATAAACTCCTGTAACTGTAGCTAAAGCATTTTAGCCAGAAAGCTAACAATGCCAAAGTTAGCGAACTAACGGTACTTAGAGGTCTTTTGTTTAGTTTGTTTGACATTATGAGAAAAACGTTAAATTATACACATCTACAAAATGGCAAGAATGACACAATATAGTTCAAGACTTTTTCTGTTGTGGTCCTTAATGGAGAAAACATGCATAAAGATGTTATGAAGACCTAGCTCACTTTGTTGGTGTGCTGGCTGAAAAGCTTTAGCTGCTGGTAAAGCGTTTATATAGTAATGTTAGAGAATTTAGTGTGTATAAATGATGAAATGGCTAGTAGTTTTTTGAGTAAAGTTAGCTTCAGCTAGGTAGCTGACGTTAGCTGAAAAGGCAGAAGCAGTGTGTTAAGCCACCAGTTAAGCGCAATAGTCCTCTTAATGGCTCTACTAATGTTTAAATGGATTTTAACTCATTTTGGGTAAGGGGGGGGGATAAAAAAAAAAAAAGTAGAATAAAAACCTCTGTCTCTGTCACAGCGCGCCCTCTACCAGTCGTCTCACAGCGACGAGAACGACGTACAGACAGTCAGCCACAAGTGCCTGGTGGTAAGCGTGGAGGAGTATGAGCAGATGACCCACACGCGCCGCTATGCTGACAGCGAAGACCTCTATTACCTGGCCGGCACCTATGAACCCACCACGGGCATGATCTTCAACACAGACGGAGTCCCAGTCCTCTGCTGAACATACACAGAAACTCACTACGAGTTGCTGAAACCAAATCTTGACCCGGCTTTCCTTCTTTGCACTCACTGAGGAGTCAAACTCAACCCGTGGTCTTTCACAGTCTAATCACTGATCTTCATTCATGATGGATCTTTAACAGCCGTGACTCATTGAACTCAACCGCTCCAATACCATGATACACTTTAAACAGACTGTCATGAACAGCCACTACTACAGAGACAGGAGACACTAGACAGTATTATAAGGAACAAGTCTCCTGAAACCTTTGCACACACAGACTCTATTTCCACGTTATGTTGTGCTTATTGTGTTCATGGGAAAGCTTCAGAACACACAAGCACCTCAGTCTCCTTTTACATGTAAATAAACACGCTCACACGTGCACAGACACATGTAAATACCCACCTCCATGTAATACACACAGTTATATAGAGGAAATATGAGTGTTTTATTTTCTGTAATAGATTTATGTCAGAGTACTTTTTTCTAATGAGGTAAACAGTCGAAAAGCTTTAATGAACTGTGAATGATGATATGGGAGAGAGGCCCGCCTCTGTCCGTCGGACAGACAGACACACGCCGGTGATGTGACGTTGTGATTATGATGTTGCTGTGGTGATGTTACATGTTACAGTCATATAAATGTATCTACAGAACAGCAGGAGCGACAGATGCAAAAGAGAGAAAGAGACGCACAGAAAGAGAGAGATAGAGACTCCTTCCATTGCTGTCCAACAGAAGCACTTAACAAAAAAAAAACACTTAAAGTTTTATCCTTGTTTAATTTAACCCCTTCAATTCCCCTTGACAATCCTAACTCGGGCAGGCAAACCGTCTGTGTGCTACTAATACTTCTGACTCCCTCAGAGACTCAGGTTTAAAGAGAGAGGAAGGATTGTGTACTAATAAACGCACTTCCCATTTTCATCTTTGTGTTCCTTGTCTTGAAGGAAAAATCCACCCTGAAAACACTATGAAACAAAAACAAGCTGCTGTTGATGTATTTTGTTGTTTGCACTGAGGTCAGACAACAACAGGGGGAGAAACAGATACTAGAGGAGGCAGACTCCAGTTTCTCCACCTTATAGAAGAAACCTCAATAGAGACCCAGCACAGCTACGAGATTTTGGGTCGGGGATGTTCAAAGCATTCTGGGAAACATAGGTTTGTTTTTCTTTTGGTAAGTAAAATGGGTAACTATGGGTAAGCTACAACACTTCTAGTAACTCCATGAATGCGCTGAACAAGGTGAGCAAATGTATTAATGGTGTAGGAGTCCCAGAGGGTGGATTTTTTCTTCTTTTTTTTTTCTTAAGGCGTTTTTAGGGTTGTAAACATGGCAATCAGTCCATGATGCATCAAGGTCAAGGCACTGATAGTCAGCATGAAGCTGCCAGCACTGATTAGATTACGAACATAATTCAGTTTTGACAGTCATCTTCCACAGTTTGGCTTCGTTCATTTTGGCTGCAGGGTTTCCAACCTCTGAATGTCCTGTGTTCGATGTATTTTCTTTTTCTTTTGCTTCTGGTGTTTTATGGGTGTCTATCTTACCCCAGTTTGATCACATTTCACCCTTTCCGAGCAATCTTCTTTGACATGAGTGCACTTTGAATGAGCTCCGCTGCAGAGGAGAGACTGACTTGGGAGTCTTGTATGTTTTCCTTAGAGTATTTGCTAATGCCCCTCCCACCACTCTCGCGGCCTCTCCTCTGCATGATGCCCCTTCACCACAAACAAACACACGCCGCCACGTCCCTTTTTATTCTTTTCGGCTCTCTTAGCTGCTTATAATTTTTTTTCTACGTGCCTAGTTTTTCACCGTTGTTAGGGTGAGACTGTTGAATGTCGTGCTCAGGGTTGTGAGCGTTTGGGCGGTCTTACTCTCTCAGGCCTTATGATGATGATTTGCCAAATCTCGCTTAGGTCCCGCCACCCCTACTCCAACCACCGTCCTCAGCTCCTTTTGGTGCCCGAGGAGTAATCACATTGGTATATTCCACAGTCTGCTGACTCTGGGGAAACACCTTTCTTCTTTGTGATTTATAGTTTAAACAACCCTCCGTTCCTGAGCGCTTAACTCACTTAGCTACACTATTGTGTATAGAGTTTGTATCTATATACAGTATAGTATACTGTATATATAGTATATATCTGTGATTATCATGTTGATTTTCTTGTATGTTTCTTACCATGTTGCCCTCTTTCTGCTTTGCTGCAGAGATTGAAGATTGTCTTGTTGATATTCAATAGGTTTAATGTTTTCTACTCTTTGAGATCTTTTGGTTATGTCTGGATGTGTCTGATTTTATTATAGGATATGTCATATTTTTAACTCTCTCTGAGATGGCTTCGTGACGTCTGGATGACGGCCCAAGATGTTAATGTTGTTCATATGAGATTTTCCCCATAAATGACATGAAGACGTCTGCCAGTATAGTAGCATTTCAGTACACGTTCATATAAAATCCAGACATGACAGCCACCCAGTAAAGGAAAGAGTTTGATAATGTGCTGCTAGTCTATTAGTATTGAAAGTGGTGTAAAGCCAGGTACGGAGTGACTCTATATGCTGTTTTCTGAGATTACTCAATCAGTTGATGCCAGAAAATCTTATCTGCTAAAGCCCCACCTGCTCCCCATGCTGCTGCTCTTATGTGTGCTCCCCTCAGGGCTGAAACCTGATCGAACATATCTGCCCAAAACTCCCATTTTCTGCTGACAAAAGTGTAAAAGTTTTGAGTGACAGTTTGCCAAAATGGATCTCCGACTGGTATCTCAGCCGTGGGAGTGTAATGGGTACACAGGTCGCAGCGGTGTTTGCAGAGTGAACAAGTGAACGTGCCCGTTATGAATGTTTGTTTACCCCTGGAGCTGCTAAAGCACTTTTTGCTGTGTGTGTGTGTGTGTGTGTGAGGGAGGGAGACTGATAAGACATCATACTCTTATCCCCTGGTATTAACACATACACACACACACAAACACTTACACACCTTTGTAACCCTTTAAGGTGTGTGTTATTGCCTTCCAATCTCTATTTGCCCCCCTATCTCCATCCAAAGCTCAGCCTTAGGTCTTCAAACAGGGTCCAGCACACACACACACACACACACTTATTGCCCACATCGCCTTCATTTTCTTTTGGTGTCATATGTTTTAAGAGCCTGACTTTGTATGTGTTCTTTGATCACCGTTAATGTTTTACTTTGCCTTGTCTCATGTTTTTGCTGTGATTTGTTTTTAGAACTCTTTTGCATGTTTCCGTCATGTTTTTCTTTTTCATCCCTTGCTTCCCCTCTCTGAACAATCGTCCACGCCTCTCAAGCAATACTGCTGACAGGCACTGGGAGCTAGCTGCTAGAGAGAGAGAGAGAAAGAGAGAGCGCAAAAGAGAGAATGGGAGAGAGAGAGAGTGAGGTGGACTGGAGGCTGGTTCTTCGTCTGCTGTTCCTTCAGTATCGTCCTGTTACAGATTTAAAAAGAAAAAAAGATTATTTTGAAAGTGAACAGAAAAATCTTCTAAGTTTTGTAAATGCTCCTTCAGTGTCGAGGGAAAAAAGAATATACTTTGTACACATGTCTTATCTTGTAAAAATGCAAAAAGAATACATTTTAGAGATAAATCTGAAACCAGATATATTCTGTCACCCTATAATATGTGTAAGGACTGTTTTTTTCCTCTTTTTTTTTTTTTTTACAGACAGCAACCACATTTATCAGTGTTTCTTTTAAATTGTTTTAGTAACTCAATATTTTATAGTTAATCAATAAACAGATGTAACTGTACTTTTGGTGTTCTGTGTGTCTCTGGCTTGAAAACCAAACCTCTTTCGTTTCTTTAAGCCTTTCTCTTTTCTGAATCTTTTGATGACATTCGTGTACCTTTTCCCTTTCATCACCCTCTTTGTTTGTTTTTCCACTTCAGTCATAAATTAGCAGAAACACAGTCTTGACTAATTTTGAATTTTAGTCAAGACAAGCTAACATGACACTTCGCCAAGTCAAAGGAAACATTTGCTTTGCTTTCTTGCTAATAATTAGATGTCAAGATTGATACCACTCTCTAATCTCTTAAGTTATAGCCAACAGCCGGTTAGCTTAGCTTAGCTGGTAGACTGGAGACAAGGGAAACCCTAGCCTGGCTTTGTACAAATTGAATAAACAAGATATAAGATGTTAATTTGTGAGCCTTAGAGCTGCTGGTAGGTGGATTTTATTTCATTTGGACAGCACAGCTACCCATCCCCCCCCCTGCTTCCAGTCTTAGTGCTAAGCTAATGAGCTGCTAGCTCTAGCTTAATATTTACTGTACAGGCATGAGAATGTTGTCAATCTTCTCATCAGTCTCTGCCAGAAAGTGAATTAGCATATTTCCCAAAGTGTCAAACTAGTCTTTTCACTTAATAGTTCAAATTTAATATTCAGGTTATTCCACTCCTATGTTGTACTTTCTCCTCCATCACTTCATCTCCTGCAGTTTTCACTGCCACTAGAAGACGCAGCTCACTCACCTTAATTAGCTGCTCTCATGTTTTGTTCTTTTCCCTTTTGTTTTTGAGCCTGGGTTCAGTTTGTGTGGAGTGCCACTTTAATCAACAGTGGACTCCATCAGGCCTCCATTTTGGCAGCCCAGTGATGAAGCTGCTGGTTGTGATAAAATGGAGGAAAGTTCAGCTTCCTGTGCTGAGCTGCAGAGCTGACCACAGGAGACACATTTTCCACCACTGACCGTTCATGACACTGCCCTCAAAGTGCTGGCAAAGGTGTGTGTGGCTTTTGAATTCCTGTGTGTCCATGTGTAATTAAATCTTTGCTGACATGAACTGCGTGTGTGTTCCTGTTTCATGGTGAGAGCTGCAGTCAGGGGTTCGGCCGCCTCTCCGTTTCCCCCAAAGGACCAACATCAGCATAACATCAGAACCTCCCAGGAGCTCTCTCTCTCTCTCTCTCTCTCTCTCTCTCTCTCTCTCTCTCTCTCTCTCTCTCTCTCTCTCTCT